AAAACACTGCCATCTAGTTGATTCTGACTCATAGTGACCCCATTGGGTTTCCAAGGCTGTAAATCTTGACGGAAATAGATTGCCTCATCATCCTCTTGTGGAGCTGCAGGTGGGTTTGAGCTGCTGGCCTTCTGGTTAGCAGCCAAATGCCTTACCCACTACGCCATTAAACTCACTGCTATCAAGTCGATTCTGACTCATAAGGACCTTTGGGTTTCCGAGGTGGCAAATCTTTATGGAAGTAAATTACCCAGTCTTTCTTCCACAGAGTGGCTTGTGGGTTTGAACTGCCAACCTTCTGGTTAACAGTCAAATGCCTTAGGCAGTACACCACCATAGCTCCTTACTATGCCACTGTTGTTGTTGTTGTTATGTGCCGTCGAGTCAAACCCGACTCATAGCGACCCCTCCTTGGGTTTCCGAGGCAGTATCACTACAGAAGTAGGACTGCCCAACCTTCCTTCCGAGGAGTGGCTGGTGGGTTTGAACAGCCAGCCGTCTGGTTAGCAGGCAAGTGCTTTAGCCACTATGCGACCAGAGCTCCCGTACTATGCCACTAGAGTTCCTTAAATACAGATTGCTGGCCCTTAATTCCAATATTTCTAATTAAATAGATGTGTAGAGAGAATTATGAAAAGTTTGCTACAATAGGATTTAGGTCAGGAATAGGGCTCGAGAATTTGCATTTTGAACAAGTTACCAGGTGACGAAGATGATGATGATGACGATGATGATGCTGGTCCAGGAGCCACCTTAGTCAGTGCTCCTACAGCACTTTGTATATCATTCCTTCTGTGCTGATCTCACTGTTCACAGTTTTGATCCCAATTCAGTCTCACAGATTCTATCTTACTCATGTGTATCTCCAGTCCTTTCTGTCACATAAACTCACTGACATTGACTCAATTTTTGACTCATAGTGACCCCTCCTTGGGTTTTTGAGGCTGTATCTCTGTGGAAGTAGATTGCCCAAGGGTGGTGGCTGGTGGGTTTGAACTGCCAGCCTTCTGGTTAGTAGTCAAATGCCTTAAGCACTATGCTACCAGAGCTCATAAACAGATAAATACGAGCACATTGAGCTATACTGATGACAATTTAAGCTTTCTAGCTGCATTAAGAACACCGTATAATACAAATTGAAGCTTGGGAACAGGTTTCATTAAGCAAAATTAAATCTCTGGAATTAAGTTTCTTAGCAAGCTTTAATCTTCCCTTCTTAACAGCGTAAGTAAAAAGCCAAACATGTCCACTACAAACATAATCCTTTATCCCAGGCCTACAGCTTGAAGAAAGAACACATCTTCTCTTCAACTTCTGGTGATGTCAGAGCTTAGTTAGCAATAGCTCAAACTTTGGGAACAAGGGTTCCAATTTCCCCACACTCTCACCAACATTTGTTAGTTTTTTTTTTTTTTAATTTTAGCCCAGTGTGAATGAAAAGGTATCTCATTGTGGTTTTGATATTAAATTTATACCCATCTAGGCTAAGTTTATTTTATACTCTTAAAGATCAACCTCAACTTTCCTTTTAAGTAACTATTTAACTTCTACTTTAACATAATACTGAGGATAGGATCAGTTAGGTATTTTTCTATCATTTCATACCAAGTTACCAAATGGATTTATAGTCTTAAAAAGAAAAATCACAATAATATTGGTAACATATAAAATTAAAGTGTGTATAAAGAAATTAAAAAGAAAAAAAGCAATTGACCTTGCTTACGTAAGTAATAACTAAGGTCAGATTGTCTTGGCTAGAGTCAGATTCAAATCAACATATGAATATAGCATGTGTCATTTGTAATTAAAAAAATACATTTAAGTTTTAATTCCTTGTATTTTTTATAAGCTACTTTACCTCAAAAGGTTTGTATTTTATTGTTTTATCTGTTGTTAGTAGAATCTTATGAATCATGTTATGAAGTCACTTAAAGTGGTCCATTCATTGTTCCACAAATCAGGGCTGTGCAAAACATAATTGTTTGGCTCCTCCTTCAGGTGCTTTTACTGAACTGCAATTTGCTGAAATGCTGCTGCCACCAGGAGGGACATAAAGAGGAAAAAAAAAAAAAGAAAATTATTGCCATGGAGTCGATTCTGACTCATAGTTACCCTAAAGGACACAGAATTGTCCCATAGGATTTCCAAGGCTGTCACTCTTCACAGAAGCAAACTGCCACATTTTTCTCCTGCAGAAAGCCCATATCTATCGGGCTCAACTGAAGAATCTTTCTGTTAGCAGTTGAGTGCTTTATCACTGTACCACCAAGGCTATTTCTAAAGAGAAATAGTCTTTCAAAACTCATTATGGACTTGCTATGAGGGCCCTTGTAAACAACTGTGTTTTGTAAAAAGCTGTTCACTGTTATTATCTACCTAGTGTTGTCTTTGTGAGAACTCATTGTACTGGTAGCAGGATGTGGATTACATTTGCTGCTGTCTATCTCCCCACTCACCCCCATCTTAACTTTCAAAGCTTTTTCCCCTAAGAGAGGAGATTGTTTTTTCAGAAAACTTAGGGCCAAGTTTGCGTTTTACTTCTATTAATTGTCCATTTTGGCTTTATCTTGTCTTCTTTAACTTGTTTCCTTGGCTTTTCTCACTTACTTATATTCCTTTTTTTCACTCTTTTAAAATTATATGTGTAATTTTTAGTCACCTTAAATTCTATTTTAAAAATAACTACAGATATAGATGACTAATTTGTTTTTCCTAATTTCTAACTTTCACGTCCCTCTTCATTCATCATCCATTTTACTTTTTTTATACATACCAGAAAATAACGGCATAATAAAGAACCCTTTAAAGGAGACTGTGGAAGAAAATCACTGTGTCTGCTATCAAAAACCAGCAGTATGAATTCAGTCAAGTCACTGCTCATGGGTACCACACCTCTTCTCTGAAAGCAAGATACTGGGTTAGATGGTACCTGATGCTCCTCACACAGCCTGCAAATTTTTCTGATAATTGCTCAATGCTCATGTCTTAAGGAGCTCAGGTGGCATAGTACCTAAGGCACTTGACTGCTAACCAGAAGGCTGGAGGTTCAAACCTACCAGCCACCCCTGGGAAGGAAGGTTGGGCAATCCTACTTCCGTAGTGATACTGCCTCAGAAACCCAAGGAGGGGTCACTATGAGTCGGATCCAACTGGACGGCAGTGAGTTTGGTTTTTTTGGAAGACATGAAAAAAAGAAATAAACTCACTGTTGTCAAGTCAATCCAACTCATAGCGACCCCTCCTTGGGTTTCCCAGGCAGTATCACTAGGGAAGTAGATTGCCCAATCTTCCTTCTGGGGAGTGGCTGGTGGGTTTGAACCACCAGCCATCTGGTTAGCAGTCAAATGCCTTAGGCACTATGCCATTTACTTAGCTTGTTTCGGAGTTAAAAGGTATAATTTAAGATAAAGTTAATTCATTAATTCAGTAAGTTGTCTTTCCTTGAAGTCACATAATTTGTGAACTACACTGCACTAGTTGCTCCCTGAAAGGAACTTCAAAGTCAAAGACTCACAGCCTTAGTGGTTTTATTATTATATTGGGCTGAGTGAAGGACTGATATGAAAATGGCAGGTAGTGCTCAGTAGTGGCCAGATGACGGACTCTAATCCTTTATGAGCCCAAATGTAAAGACATTTTTTGTCTCCCTACCCAATATTAAGGTGCTCTGGTGGCACTGTGGTTAAGGCACTGGGCTGCTAACCAAAAGGTCAGCAGTTCAAGCCCACCAGCCACCCTGCAGGAGAAAGATGGGGCAGTCTGCTTTTGTAAAGATTGACAGCCTCAGAAACCCTATGGGGGTTGCTATGAGTTGGAATCAACTTGAATGTAGTGGGTTTGAGCTACCTAGTATTAAGAGTTATAGGTTTTCAGAGGAACCCGCACTGCTTGAACACAAGGCCTAGCTCTGGACAAAACTTCTGTGACTGAAAACATGCTTTTGGTGCCCTTAGAGATCTAGAGTTCTATCTCTGAGGGGCCAAATGAGAATTCAGGAGTGGCTGCTTGATTTCTTATCAGACACACCTGCCACTTCCTACCTGAGATTCTCCTCTGGGTGGGATGGGAATTATCCCTTCCGGAGACTGATTCTGTTCTCAGGGCCCACACCTCAAAGTCATGACAAATCAGAACAGTCATTTCAGCTTCTACAAAGAAAGTCGGGACTAGCTTGAAGGCATAAACCACCAAGAACAGAGGGCAGTACTGCCCTGAGGTCTAAAACCTGGCAGTGGCTTCTTGAATACCTTGCAATCCTCAGTGTCTAGTGAAGAGTTGAGCTGCAAGACCTCACTGATTTGATCACTGGAGTTTTCTCTTTTATTCTTATGAGTCCACTGCAAATATAAGCCAGCTGAGAGATGAAGCTTGCCATTTATATAAACTCACTGCCCTATCTCTCCTCCCATTCCCTCTATCCAGGGTATTCCAAGGAAAAATAGTAACTTGCATGCAGAGGCGGCCTGTGGACAACAGGTAAGTCTGCTACATACCAGGACTATGCCTATCTTCTTTTTCTAGAAACAAATGGCACTGGCTCCCAAATGGCTTCTTCCTACAACAAACGCTTGATGCAAATATTACCAGGCCAACATCAGTGTCAGTCTGTGCTTAAACCTTCCTCTTTCCTTCCTTAACTTCTTTATGTTTAAGTGGAACTGCCTTAAATGAGTCACTCCATAGGGTCCTCTGTGTTGACCAATGAATTGAAACAATAGGAAGATAGAATTTGGCTGAGGACAAGAAAGAGCTTTCTAAAGGTCACAGCTGCATCTGGAAGAAGATCTGTGATGTTAGAGACGCTCAAGGAAGCAGAGGCTGGAAGTGATGATGCAAATATCATGGCACATTAACATGGTAACTTCTGACATTCTCTCAGCTCTTAACTTCCATGACTCTATGGATAAACATATGACAGAATAATCTTTCTACTGAAATTATGAAATCATGCTTCTCACAACAATCTTTGGGATTCCGAAGTGAAAAAGATAATGCCTTACCGTTTCCAAACACCAAGCTGTAGGAAGTGCAGAATCACCAAACAGCAATGACCTTGATGTCCATCTGCTCGAAACCATACATAACTCAGGCCCTGGACCAAGAACCCTGGCAGCAGGACAGAGAAGGCCAGCCACCCCCAAAGAAGCTGTCCAGTGATGAAATAATACACCATGGTGCAGATACCTGGGGGACAAAAAAGGATAGATGAATTGGGTTATTGGAAGGATTGAGGGAGACTAGTTAACCAACACTAAGTCCCTAAGACCAGCAGGGATTTCCACCAAACATAGTACCTGAATCAGCAGAAGCCTATTAGAAATCTATAGTCAAGAAATTTAATGAAAGCTTTGGGGTTTCAAAAGGGCAGACACCATGGTTCATTGAAAGGGGCTGTTGGATAATATTATGACAAGTATCTAGAATGTGCTCAACAATGTTAAACCTACTCTTCAGGGGATTTTTCGTTTTTTTATTTTTGATGATGGTGATGGTGCTGTAAGAGGCCCTGTTGGCGCAATGGTTAAGCACTTGATTGCTAACCAGATGGTTAGGCATTTGAACCTACCAGCTGCTCCATGAGAGAAAGATGTGGCAGTCTGCTTCCTTAAAAATTTATAGCCTTAGAAACCCTATGGGGCAGTTCTACTTGGTCCTGTAGCATCAGTAAGAAAACTGGCTCAACAACAATGGGTTTGGTTTGAGTTTTTTTGTGCTGCTGCTGTTAGTTGCCAGCAGCTCTGACTCATGGCAACTTTACATAGAACAGAAAAAAATAATGCCTAGTCCAGAGTCATTTTCATGCTGGTTGGTATTTTTGAATTCACTGTCACAGCTATTATGTCCACCCATTTCATTGGTTTTCCTCGTTCTCATTTTCCCTCTACCAAACATGATGTTCTTTTCTAGTAACTGGTCTTCCTAATGACCTATGTTGTTGTTATTGTTAGGTGTTGAGTCAGGTCCAACTCATAGTGACTCTATGTACAACAGAACAAAACACTTCCTGGTCCTGAGCCATCTTTGCTACACTTAAGCTCATCATTGGAGCCACTGTGTCAATGGATCTCTTTAAGGGTCTTCTCCTTCTTGACCCTTTACTTTATCAAGCATGATATCCTTCTCCAGAGAATAATCCCTTCTGACAGCATGACCAAAGTAAGTGAGAGGAAGCCTGGCCATTTTCACTTCCAAGGAGCATTCCGGCCACACTTCTTCCAGGACAGATTTGTTTGTTCTTCTGGCTGACCATGGTATTTTCAGTATTCTTCACCAACACCACAATTCAAAGGCATCAACTCTTCTTCAGTCTTCCTTATTCACTGCCTACCTTTCACATGCATATAAAATCAAACCAAACTCACTGCCGTTGAGTCAGATCTGACTCAATAGTGACTCCTCCTTGGGTTTCCAAGGCAGTATCATATGGATGTAGATTGGCCAATCTTCCTTCCAAGCAGTGGCTGGTGGGTTTAAACCACTAGCCTTCTGGTTAGCACTCAAATGCTTTAAGCACTATGCCACCAGAGCTTCTTTCACATGCATATAAGGTGACTGAAAATACCATCACTTGGGTTAGGAACACCTTAGTCTTCAAGGTGATATCTTTGCTTCTTAACACTTTAAAGAGGTCTTTTGTACTACATTTGGCCAGTGCAATATAATGTCTGATTTCCTGACTGCTGCTTCCATGGGTGTTGATTGTGGATCCAAGTAAAATGAAATTTTTGACAGCTTCAATCTTTTCTCCATTTATAGTGATGTTTATTGGCCCAATTGTGAACATTTTTGTTTTCTTTATGTTGAGTGTAATCCATACTGCAGACTATAGTCTTTGATCTTCATCTCTAAGTGCTTCGAGTCCTCTTCACTTTCAGCAAGCAGGGTTCATCTTCATATCACAAGTTGTTAATGAGTTTTCCTCCAATCCTGATGCTGCATTCTTCTTCTTGTAGTACACCTTCTCAGATTATCTGCTCAGCATACAAACTGAATAAGTATGGTGAAAGGATTCCTGATTTTAAACCATGTAGTATCCTTTGTTCTGTTTAAACAACAGCCTCGTGGTCCATGTACAAATTCCTCATGAGCACAATTAAGTGTTCTGGAATAACCACTTTCATAATGTTATTCATAATTTTTTATGATCCACACAGTCGAATGCCTTTGCATAGTCAACAAAACACAGGTAAACATCTTTCTGGTATTCTTTGCTTTCAGCCAAGATCCATCTGACATCAGCAATGAGATCCCTTGTTCCACATCCCCTTCTGAATCCAGCTTGAATTTCTGGAAATTCCCTGTCAATATACTGCTGCAACTGTTTTTGAATTATCTACCACTAATCTGTCAGTTTTTTGGACTGTGGTGGCTTTCAGGTTGCTGTGAAGCTGGAAGCTATGCCACCAGTATTTCAAATACTAGCAGGGTCACCCATGGTGGGTAAGTTTCAGCAGTGCTTCCAGACTATGACGCTGGAAATGACCTGTCTATATTATTATGAATCACTATTTTGTTGTCATCTATATGGTTTTCACTGGTTAATTTTCTGAAGAGATATGGACTGACAATGGCTGTGATGATGGACTCAAGCATGGCAATGACTGAGGATGGTGAAGGAACAGGCAGTGTTTCGTTCTGATATACATAGGGTAGCAATGAGTAGGAACTGACTTGGTGGCACCTAACAACAATGATTTTCTTAAGTAGATCAGCTGGCCTGTATTCCTAGTCTGTCTCAGTCTGTAAGCTCCTTTGAAAACTGTCCACCATAGGTGACCTTGCTGATACTTGAAATTCCAGTACCGTATCCTCCAGCATTATAGCAACATGCAAGTCACCACAGTATAGCAAACTGACAGACATGTGGTAGCTTGATCATAGTAGTAATATAATGGAAAGAGACAAATTAGCTTAGGATATGTATTCACCGTCAGTAACAATATTGAACTGTTACCACACGCCAGCATCTGTGCTATGTGCTTTACATGTGTTACCACAGTTCTTTCTCTGAGGTAAGTATTTTATCTTTACTTTTCAAATGCAGGAATTTATTAACTGTGAAACTTGAGGATGACAATAGAGATTAATGTTTTGTATCTTTCCCAGCATTTGTAAGCATGTGAATACACAGTAATCATTTTATATTATTATTTCTTGTCTTTGTCCAGTATTAATGTTTAAAAATGGATTTCTGTGCATAAGCTGTGAATTTTAGCAGAAATGGAGAGCATTACCCCAAAACCCAAACTCAAACTCAAAGTGAAACCTACTACCACCTAATAAGTTTCTGACTCACAGACCCTATAGGACAGAGTAGAACTGCCCCACAGGGTTTCCAAAGCTATAAACTATCAAGGAAGCAGGCTTCCACATTTTTCTCCCAAGGAGCAGCTGGTGGGTTGGAATGCCCAACCTTTGGTTAGCAGCCACAAGCTTTACCACTGCACCATCAGAAAAAAAAAAAAAGAAAAAAACCTAACCAAACGAACTGCAGTGTAGTGGATTTAACTCATAGCGACCCCTCCTAGTGTTTCCAAGGCAGTATCACTACAGAAGCAGATTGCCCAATCCTCCTTCCGAGGAGTGGCTGGTGGGTTTTAAGTGCCAGCCTTCTGGTTAGCAGTCAAATGCCTTAGGCACCCACCCACCAGTGCTCCTTTCATTATCCCAAAGGTACACATAAAAAGCCTACAGCTGAGTAGAGGGAGTCAAACTTTAGAAAAGCCATTCCTTGGTCCCAAAGGTTTAGTCTCCAGTGCGCTAACCACCTTGTGTTTCCTCCTGAAACGTACAACCAACAAGAGCTTTGCTTACACACACACACACACACAAAACCGTTGAGCGAGTTGTTGTTGTTATGTGTCGTGGAGTCGTACCTCACTCATAGCGACCCCTCCTTGGGTTGCGAGGCAGTATCACTACGGATAGTGGGTTTTAACCGCCAGCCTTCTGGTTAGCAGTCAAGTGCCTTAGGCACTATGCTACCAGAGCTCCTGTTGAGGAAGTAACCGCCTCCAAAAAGGCTGAGGAATGCTAAAGAGTGGGCTGTCACTGGAAGGGAAAGAGAAGGTATTGTCCTAGAGACACACCTGCGTGGGTGCTAAGACCCCAGGGGTCTTGTCTTATCCCTTCCAGGCCCGGGTGCTGAATCCGGGAACGCTTTCTTGTTATGTGCTGTCCAGTTGGACCGACTCATAGGGACCCCTCCTTGGGTTTCCGAGGCAGTATCACTACAGAACTCAACCTTCCTTCTGAGCGTGGGTGGTGGGTTTGAACCGCCAGCTTTCTGGTTAGAAGTCAAGTGTCTCAGGCACTACTCCAGCTCCTCCTCCTGTGCCGGCAATGCCAAGCCCCGCCTTTTTTGTTGTTGTTGTTCTTGAAAAAGTGCAGCGGGGAACTGGAGGGGCAGTCCATGTAAACAAGGAGAACAGTTAACCCTGGAAAGCAGTAACTTGCTTGCTCCAAGGAGTGATCTGCTAGAGTCAAGTGTGTGTGCTGGGGAAGGAGGCAGAGAGGCCTGGGGGTCTTGATCTGGAGCTTCTTGAAAGGATTCCCCCCTCAATTCCTTCGGTCTGGGGAGAACCTAACTGCAGAAGACACGGCTGCAGGAAGCCTGGCGGAAGTGGGCGGAGGCACTCCTCTCAGGCACTGAAACAGTTACAGAGTTCAAACTACAAGGGCGCTAAAAAGTGTTGCCATCTTGCTTCGCTTCAGCTTTCTGAGACTGGACCCCATGCGAGACACATGTGTCTCCTCACTGGGCGTTTCCTGCCCTATTTTAAACTCTGAAGTGCGAGTCATCCTCCTCCAGGGCCGCGGATGACTAGTAAACTCCGTTCTCGCCGTCCCTCGCCCCAAAAGCGGCGGGTCTGGAAGGACCACCGTGGCCCTTCTCGGCTACTGAGACCCGCCAGCCAGCAGGGAGCGCGAGGACAGACCGGGATGCACCCCAATCCCATGTTCAGCATGTTTTGCACCCGCAGCCTTGGATAGGCTTGGGTTTCCGGAGGGCAGGCGAAATAAACGTTTCCCGATCTCTGTGTGGGACGTGAGAGATTGGCACCATGTGGGGATCAGGCATTCGTGGAAATGTGGGCTTGCTTGGCAAGCGAGCTGGGGTGCTATCGCTCATGCATAGACTAGGGGAGGCTGCATGCTCGGTTAAGGAATGGCGTTTGCGCCCCAGGGCGCCAGAGGGTAAGGTGTTAGTATTGGAGAGGTGAGCAGGCGATGGCGCTCCCACGCCTCGAGCTGTGCAGGGACTCACGCGCGCTTTGCTCGGCCGCCAGCAGCAGGGCGGAGAACCCCAGGAATCCCGCGTGCATCCTCCGCACCCGGCAGCGCAGTCAGAGCCCTGCGCTCTCGCGGCGTCCGCTACACCCACCTCCGCTGCGCCCCCGCCCCTTCCCCTTCGGCGCGGCCCGAAGGTGGGGAGGTTTCCGGCGAGGAGACCTAACTGGCAAATTTCGGCCTGACCCTTCCCGGGCTCGTGTCTGATTCGAGTTTATGCGATATTACCTCCAGGGAGAGAGAGGGATGGTAGCCTTGGATTTTTGTGGTCTGGAAGGAGGAAGTACAGTTCAGATTGGGCTTCTTAATGTGGGTAGAAGCCGTTTTCTGTGCTGTTTGTTCTCTACCCTCAGTATTGGGGCCATTGGAAACAAGACTGGGTCTATGTTAGTCACGTGGTGGTTAAACTGTGTGTTAAACCTTTGGGCCAGCTGGAAGAAATTCTGATGAACTACTGGTCAGAGTGTGTTTCTGTATTTGTAATGCATTAAAATAATTAATTAGCATTTTTGAAGTCTTACAAGTATGTGGCCAGGAAAAATACAGGGACTGTTAACTGGTATCTTGTCTGCATTGCATCACCTACAAATCCATCCCAATCTCTCTCCTCATAAAATCTTTTTTCAGATGTGCTTTAGAGTTAAACAAGGCCCCATTGTGCAGTAAGTGCTGGCGGTTCAAACCCACCAGCACTCCTCGGAAGGAAAGTTGGGCAATCAATCTACTTCAGTAGAGATACTGCCTCGGAAACCAAAGGAGGGTTCGCTATGAGTCAGATCCGACTGGATGAAAGTGAGTTTGGTTTTTTTGGTAGAGATTTACTGCCTCAGAAACCCAATGGGGGTCTCCATGAGTTGGAATCCACTAGATGGCAATGAGTTTTTTTGTTTTGTTTTGTTTTTCAATGAAGTTTTTAAGGACTCTGGAGGCAGGGTGGTTAAAAGTTATTAACCAAAAGGTCAGCAGTTTGACCCTGTTGGAAGCCACCCACAGGCAACGTGGAAGACAGGCTTGGCAATCTGCTTCTGAAAGGTCACAGCCTTGAAACCTCTGTGGAGCAGTTCTGCTATGCTCACATGAGGCCACCCTCAGGCTGAATGGGCTCAAAGGCAACTGACAACAATCCAGATAACAAGTGAACCTTTAAAATTCTTACTATTGATTTTACATTTACTGAAATGAAACTATGATGTCAAAACATACTTGGTTCTTCCCTACAGTTGTAATGTGATTCGTACAGATTATTTAGTTGTGAATAAAAGGGTCTCCAGTTTTCCATGTACTTTTCAATACATTGCTGTGGGTTCAAACCTCCTAGATTTCCCACCATTTTAGAGATTCAACTCTAAAATATACATTCTCAAAACCTATGAACCTTTCAACTCTTTTCTCTCTGAACAAATACAAGGGTAAAGGGATGCATTTCTAAGGTCTAGGTTTCCATTTATTTTAACTTCAATTCTCCCAGAATCCCTACTCCATCCTACTTAATACAACCTCCCATTATATTTACTTTAATCCCCAGATCCTACTTTTTCTGGGTGCCCTGGCAAAGGAAGGAAGTCACAATTTATGTATGTTGAAGCTAATACTCTCATATACTAAAAAAGGCATATAAAATTGAAAGCACATACATAAATTAAAATTAGGAGTAAAAGATGCTCATGGTTTTGAAGCGGTCATTGTGGAATTCCTTCCTGGACAAATAAAAGTTTTAGGGAAAAATCCCTTCCCCTAGTTACTATGTGAAGAATATATATATATATCCCATATCCTATATGTGGAGCTCTGGTAGCATAGTGCCTAAGGCACTTGACTGCTAACCAGAAGGCTGGTGGTTCAAACTCACCAGCCACTCCT